CCAGAGTTCAGGCCCCACAACCGGACCCCCCCCAAAAAAAAATCAGTAAAGGAGGACTAGCGTGTGGCTCAAGTGGTAGAGCATCTGTCTAGTAAGTGTGAAGCCCTGAGCTGAAACCCCAGTACCACCAAACAACAACAACCATAACAAAAACCAACCCACCTGGAAAGAAATTCACATAGGATTAAGTCCACAGGACATGACACAGAAACTGCCAGCTGGCCTCTCCAGCCATCACATGGACACCGCTTAATTCGCCAACAAGGATGTGGGACATATGAAGTGTTGTCATCCAGGAAAATTCAAGCTTCCATGTGCATGGTTTTTGTTGTGATCCACTGAGCTCAGCTACACAGACTCTGTTCCCTAGAGGTCCTATTGAGCATGGCCCAAGGTTCAGGGTGGGGAGGGGTGAGGGAGAGAGGGTCATTTTTATGAAGTATAATATTCTGAGGGCCAGAGTATAGTGTCTGGGAAAACTGGGTCATATGAGTTAGTACTTTATTACACAACTAGAAAGAGGAAAAAAGGGCATGCCAGTGTTATGGTAGATGGACATCTGTATGCTGTCTGGAAGTGTGAGTCATTGGACCATTATTCCTGTGTAGAAAGAAATAAGGACCCTAGCTTAGGAGTTAGGTTACATGAAATTTCTGTTAACAACTATATTATACAGCATTGGTCAGCCTCATGTTTTTCTTCTGTGAAATGAATGGGTTATCATATTCTTTTTAGCCTTTTCTTTTGTGGTATGAAAATCTTTATTGAAAAATGAAGTCTTAATTTGCCATAGTTTGAATTTGTCTCTCAAAAATATCATAGGTGGTTGTTAGTTCCTTAATATTGTGACAATAGCTGGTGCTGGTGGCTCACATCTGTAATCCTAGCTATTCAGGAGCTGAGAGATCTAAGGATCATGATTCAAAGCCAGCCTGGGCAGGAAAGTTTGTGAGACTCTTATCTCTAATTAACCACCAGAAAACTGGACATGGCGCCGTGGCTCAAGTGGTAGAGCACTGTCCTTGAACTGAAGAGCTCAAGGACAGCACCCAGGCCCAGAGTTCAAGCCCTATGATTGAAAAAAAAAATGTGACAAGTACCTGAGAAAACCATTCTTTTTAAAATTTTTTGTTGGGCCTGGGGCTTGAACTCAGGGCCTAGGCACTGTTCCTGAGCTTCTCTGTGCTCAAGGTTAGCACTCTGCCACTTGAGTCCCAGCACCGCTTCCAGCTTTTTCTGTTTATGTGGTACTGAGGAATGGAACCTAGGGCTTCATGCATGCTAGATAATCACTCTACCACTAAGCCACATACCCAGTACTGTTTTAGGATTTATTTTTGCTCACAGGTCCTGAAAGTTCAGAATGGCTTTATTATTTTGGGTATGAGGAGGCAGTAAGTACAAAGAGGAGAAGGCTGTTGATCTCACGGAAATGAGGAAGCAGAGTAGTACAGGAAGGGGCCAGGACAAGACTTACTCTTCAAAGTCACATCCAGAGTGATCTACCTTCTTCATCTAGGCCCTACCTTCCAAGTTCTAGCTCCTTTCAGTGGTCTATTTAAATTTTGAATCCCTAAGTAAATAATTAACTAGACCTGTGACTTCACTATCTAATTGTGTCTGGAAAACCCCCAGACCCAATCAGAGATACGTTTAGTAATTTTCTTTTTTTTTTT